TTTTCGTACTTGCCAATGTTCAGCATATATATGATAAAGTAATATATAGACTGTTTTGCCCTACAGTGTATACCTTGGTTCATCAGCATGCCTAGAAAACACATTTACCAAAAATAGTAAACCATGATCCAACAAGGATAGCTCCTTGAAAAAGCTGAACACAAGCACATGTTTCTGGCACCTTAAAACTAGATTGCTTGCCTTCACACCTTTTGAAAAAGCAAAAGGAGTTTGGTTAGAACTTAGAAATGGGTGACAATGAAAACCACCTAAAACGAGCAATCTGGTTTTAAGGTGCCATAAACCCACCTCACACCTTTCACCATAGCAAAAGGAGCTTGGTTAAAAATGGGTGACAATATGTGAAATTGCCCAGTTTTTCCCTTTAGCCCCTTCCCCATTCCCCCTATTACTAACCTATGTCTAATCTAATTAAATTCATCATCTTGTTATATACTGTCCACTATGAAAATGTATAACATCACAAGTGAAATGGTGCCTCAAAGCTGCAGCTTCATTGGAAGCCAACTTTTATTGAAAACAAGTTTATTTTACCTGGCATTTTAATTAAACATATTTTAATCACAGTAGATTCAAATACAAAAGATTCATTAAAAATGACTATTACTTTACTTATCTAGTTATCTGAAATAATTGGCAAGGTTTTTAACACAGTATTCCACTATTCTTACACTATGCTTACATACTGTATATATATAGACACATACTATCAACATGATGTTTGTCTGTCAGGGCCTGAAATAACATTCCCAAAATTCCCGATCATGGTGATTGATCATGGTGATTGACATGGTGATTGATCATGGTGATCGGCAGTCATGACTTTCCCTGCTTTTTCAGGTTGAAAACCCTGCTTTTCCGCTGATCATAAGCAATTTCTTGCTGACTATTGATTGGTAATCAGTTGTTATTTCAAGCCCTGGTCTGTTGAAAAATTTAACTGGTTCAAGATGCAATGGACCGGTCTCAAGCCAATGAGATCAGACCGATATTTGGCATCAGCTTTTGTCTACAAAGCCCGAATGTTTGGGGTGGGGGGAGATTATGGGAATTAAGGTGGTGATCTTGAAAGGCTAAGTTTGGTTGATGATGAAGGAAGTTTTTTCTCATGCCCCAGGAAGTTTTTTTCTCATGTCAGTGTTGTGTACAAGAGTGAGGTTATTGTCATTGGAGGCAAGAGTGGTCTTTTTGCAAGCCGATATATTTAACTTTAACCTCATGCATGTTCCAGAAAATTTAATAAAGTTTCCTACAGTATGTTAGGATAATATCCTGGTGAATTTGCATCATGACCAAGCCAAGTCATTTAATCTAATTAGTCTTCAACCATAGTGCTTCTTCGCTTATACTGTATAAAAAGTGACATACTGTATAGACCTTTCACACTTGCACTGTAAACATTTAAACTATCAAGGTCAAATTTATAGGTCATTGGTACCTGTCAATGCTAATAATAGGAAACAGAGCTATACAGCCAATTGCCAGTTGCATTAGATCTAAAAATATAACCAAAGATTATATTATTATCTTTATAAAGTACATTTGTAGAGCTATTATCAGTCAATCAATACTCTATAAAGCATGTACACAATAAATATTTTTTATCCAACATGATCAAATATTTGAGATCAAATTTCTGCCACTTGAGGTGTTTTAATTTTATACACATATAAATGAATATGTATGCAGTATATGAAACTTTGGACCTATAACCTCGCACAATTATGCAAATCGTACGTTCAATTCAACGTTACGATTTATTGTTCAAAATTCAAACCACTAATTTACCTTAATGCCATACACCTCTTATTAATCTCTTGAAAATATAGACGACGAGAAATCAACACATCATAGTTTCGGCCAAGACAATTTTCTTGCATCCATCGAATTTATCAGCTTGAAATATTCTCCATAGAACACCAGAAAGCATCCCTTATCGTAACAGATAACGATATAACCCTTTCGAAATCTTTATTTCGAAAATAGTTCAACAAATATACTAAGATTAAGCGAAATAATTCGCTTGTAAAATTGTAATGAGCTGCAACCATTATATTAACTATGCTGCAACAGAGCTACCAAGTGCACAATGCTTCCAAATTGAAGATTAGAAGGCCAATCAGAGGAGATGTTCTTTAACTCTTTTGCGCAAATTGTCCAATCAGAAGCTGCTATCTATTTGCAGGATTAGTCAAAATAGTCAAAATTGCGCAATCGTTAGTCAAAATAGGTCTGACCAATCAACATGCCTGTAATGTGTAATCTGAAAAATTTGACCAATCAAATCACATGAACTAAAATGCAGAATAGTCAATTTTCATTTCAATACCGCTTATTTGACTTATTGTTTGACTAATCAATCGCTGGCTCAATGTGCAAAAACTGATCGAAGTTTATATGCTGGAGTGTGATGTAGTTTTGATTGCATGATCAGAAATGAAGAGAAGCGTTTGCGCTGGGAAAAAAATTCAAAAACATTAGTCCAAATTTTTTTTATATGCCCTTTTTTTACGTTAGTCGCGTGACTAATCTGACTACCCCTAGATCCGCCCCTGATGTCGAAGTAAAACAGTTTAGAACTGATATCCAGTATAGTTAAAAAGTTGATTGGTTTTTTTATGTCGTATAAGGCCTGAATCCACTATCCGTGAGAACAGCAGTTTAGCTCTGAAAGATCGAGCTAGCTATCTATATGAGTAACACTAAAACGTCAGTTATATAAGCGACGACCCTTACGTACTGGACCTCTGCATGCATGGGAGAACACTGATAGAGTGATCCAATATAAATAAACATATAGTCTGTAGTATAATTATAGTGCCGCATTTTTGCAGACCCAGCAAGATCGATCACAAATGGCTTGTGAATGAATTGACAGTTCGGGCGCTGCATATAGTTATGCGGGTAGCAACGTCTTGTAAGCCGTTTATTTTTGTTTTTTCTTTCGTATATCTAAGGATATATATTTACGAGCTAGGTCGCGCGTGAGAGAGAAACTCATTGTCGGTATTTAAAACATATGCTTTTTGGCAAATCATGTGAACAATAATACGTCACGTGGAGTGGCTTGATACCTGATAAAACACCATTCTTAGTAAAAGTCTTCATTCGTAGTTCTTTATATAACTAGTCCATCCTCATTATCCCCGAGCCGGCGGCGCGAAGCGCCGTGCGAGGGTACTAATTCCCCCCGGCTATTTACACCCGGGAAAACGAAAGCATTAGCGAAGTCTAAAGTTCATCAATGAGCGCGGGCGTCGGTCACCAACGATGGGTGGTCATCCTCACTGATCTCAAAAATATGGCGGAATGTCATGAATAACGGACACTGATTGGTCCAATTTAAAGTTTGCATTATAATGACTGCATGACGACAGCGAAATAGCAAACATTTCTTGATTTGATGAGTTGATGATTGATAAATTTCTTGCAAATATTCTTCATTATTGCTCGTATTTCTGCAAGATTTTGTAAATTTCAAGAAAGAAAGGGCGAAAGAATCAGCTAAAAGAAGGGAGCCGACGTTAACGAAGGTAAGTTTGTTTTAAATATTGATTTTATAATGGCTTTAAAACCCGACGGCCTTTGCGTATATGAAACAACTAAACAAGACAGCATATAATTTCAGTGTATCTTTAATATTGATTCCCTTTTTTATTATATTGAATTTTTTAAATAAAAAATAAAGCAAAGTTATTTGCAAGCGAGAATTTGAAATCATTTTATTGCAAACTCAAAGTTTATCGATAAAGCCATTTAATAGTTATAAAAGGCAGTTTAGTTTTATATAAAAGAACACTTTAAAACCTTTTGTGAATTGTTTGTGGCTGAATTTTACCTTAAATTGAAGCTTGTATTACGTATAATTACATACCTAACACATATATGTTGGGAAATTGATAATTTTGTAATTAAAAGTGATATTTTTAGGCGATTTTCATTTGTAACAATATTCTTAAAAAATTATCGTGTTACCATGACAACCTACTTTAGATACTTCATGTTCGGAAAATACAACGGTTTTGTCAGCAAGGCAAGGGTTTCTGCATGCATGTATTTTCTAGTAGTATTCTAGTCTTTACTGATGTAAAGAATACTAAGGAGACGGCATCTATTGTAGACGTGTTGTAAGACATTTAAACCACAGACTAGTATATAGTCGTGTTTTATCATAGTAAAACAGTGTTCGCGCTCGCATTTCAGTTTAAATTGATGGGAGTGCGCAGCGCAAGCAATTTAGCTATGATCAGAAAACACGACTGCATGCTAATTTAAATAGTATATATATAACTCATGGCGTTACTATATTGTGTATTAAGTCTGTATTACATTCCTTAACGTTATCTTATAGTATAACATAATGGGCAATCTTCCGTTCCAGTAAAATTCTTTCACTTTCATATTGTCTTCATTCTCATGCCAAAATATAAAATTATAACTGAACACATTTTCTGGTTAGTTGTGCAATCATTTTGAGGCACTTCAGTCAGGGAGAGAGGTATGGCTATAATTTATATTTATTGATAGAAAAGATTGTCAAGAGTAATTTGATGAAATACGACTTCGTTGACTTAGGCCATAAATCGCCACAATGTTGATATTGACTAAACCTATATCTTGAGGAATAAGGAGATATTGTTTCACGGAATTGAATGGTGCCGTTATTTTTGTCCTTGTTCACGGATCGACTCACTGAACTGAAGCAATGAAGCTGGAAAGTTGTTGCTGAAACATAGCGCAACAGCATCGTTAAATCTGGACGTCATGTATATAAAGATTAATCTTATCTTTTCTCATGCATAGCCGTATAACAATAGACAATCTTCCGTTTCAGCAAAATTCTTTCACTTTGATAGTCGTCTTTGTTATGCAAAAAATAACTGACAAAACACATTTCCTTGTCAGATGTGCAATCATTTTGCAAGACACTTTCAACGAGAGCAACTTGAAGAAAACTAAACTCAGAGAAAATTTATTTGGTAAGGTTGTACTGACAAATGTAAACTAACTGGTGCATGCAGTATACTGTTTGATTCCTACATAGATATATTTGATTCCTTTCAACAGCGCTAGCTTAAGCTTGATTCTGTTTCATATATAAGCGCGCGGTTTAAAAACCGATAGAAACTATAATAACATAATTGATTCAGTTATACAGTATATACTCAACTGCATGGTGGGTCACAGACACAGGGTCAGCGTGCTCTTTTCAATCTTAAGCTTGAATAAAAGCAAGGAATTTCTGCAACAACAAAAAATCTTTTCAAAAGGAAAATAAAGGGACTAATGGGGCGAGCCAACATGTCATTATTTACATTTCAGTCATTTCCTCAGAAAACATGATAACTATATAAATGTACTGTATAGGGGTAATTAATCTATGAACAAGTAAAGCCATCTTAAAATCTAAACTATTGGATAATAAGAGTTTTACAATGCAGGACTCAAATGACTCAGCTGACAAATCTGAGAATATTGGATTGCCTCAAAAAAAATTTACCAAGTTACTTTGAATAGTGGTTGCAAGGCTTTTTTTTATTAAGGAAATATAACTTGCAAGTGATGATCGAACCAGGCGGGAATCGTAATCGTAGTATAGAGATTAATGCCCAGCATAACGTACGCAAAAGAGCCATATAGACAATAATATAATATAAAAATTTATTTAAGAAGTACTAACGTTTCGCCTTTAACCTAAGACATCTTCAGAGTAAATGAATATAATATGACAATGAGTTACAAATATGAATAAATTACTATTTACAATATCAAATTACAGGGTAATAGGAATGCGGACGATGGGGGTGGAGTTAAAGGAAAGAAATCTGAGGAGTGAGAGAGGAATGGAGCTACCTTGCTGATTCAAAGTAGGTTTGAGCTTTGAGATGAGAAGACGTTCACGGACGAGAAGTTCATGTGGAGAGGAACAGGATGATAGGATCTTAAAATCATCAAGAGAAGCAGTATGACCTGAGTGGCTCAGATGGGAATGTAACTTCTCCGACATCAAAAGGCCGGCAAGGATGATGAAGCAATTTTGATCGACGGTGTAGGTTTCAAACTTGACTTAAAAATCGTGCACCTGGGCTTGTATTCTATCACTGCGCAGGACTAGTAAAGTTAACGAGCGACATGAAGTGGGCGCGGGTGTGTAACCATTTTCTCAGCCAAAATTTTGTCTGAATGCCAGTCACCCGACACACTGATTACTGCCAAATTCCATTCTCAACAGGAAACTTTCTGTGTTGCTGGTACAAATGGCACAAATCCCATTCTTATAGTGATCCAAATTCTATTTTTCCGGTGAGAATATAGGCTACACCCATTTTATTGACCCCTTCATGCACGAGCTTCATTACTAATACGTATATACAACGGAGCTTCCTTCTGTCGTATTGCGCGTATCATATTTCATTTATCAACTTTTCCCTATACAAATCACCCCAAAATTTGATTTTTTTCGCTTACGATTGCTCTACGATTATATTTATTTATTTAGCTTTGCCAACTAGGGCAGGGTCACCACAACAGCATATGCCAATTACTGTGGGCCCTTTTTACCTAACCCAACCTGTCAACGTTCCCTGTGGGAGGAAACCGGAGTACCCGGGGAAAACCCACGGCTTTCGGCAGAGCGTTGACTTTTTACTCTTTTCACATGGGGACTGGGTTCGAGTCGCACTGAGAAGGTACTTAGTGAGACTCGAACTGCAGCCTCAGAGGTGAAAGGCAAGTGCGCTAACCACTTGGCCACCGAAGCCCCACAACTGGTGTTCAGTTACCGTCGGTATAGGAAAGAATAAGCCTTTAGACGTCTTTTGAATGTACTTTTAATTTAATTTAATTTATTAACTTTGCCAGATTCAAACAATTAACGTTAACATAAAAACTGGCAGGGCAATCGCAACAGCTTGCGCCAATTACTGCGATCCCTAAATGTTAGACAAATACACTATATACGTACATAGAAAAATCAATTATTAACGAACTATATCAGATTCAACTTTTCACATTGCGACCCGCATGACCACTTCTAGTTTCGGAAGCTGACTGAATCAGAAGACGTTTAACCCTCACAATCCTAAACCTTCAGCAAAACCCTGGATAGGCCCATAGATACCAATGCGAAAAGCTACTTCTGAAAACTATTAAAATCTAAAAACAACACGTTATCGGCCTTGTAAGGTCGCGAGCTTGATTGCATTTTAAGCAAACCGTTTTCCATGTTCGTGGATCGTCAACGTCATAACATTTATCTAATGCTGTTTTATAATAGATATACAACTTATTTTTAAACTCCTTTAAGGTTGCCATGCCATTAATAGTAACTAAATCCCTTGGCAGTGTGTTCCAGACTCTAGTAGTCCTTATTAGATAGGATTTTTGATAGGTAGATGTTTTACATGCTGAAGTCTGAAATTGTAGGCAGTCGGGATTTGTAGAACGGGTACGTTGACTTGAATCTTGAGGGTATGGTAGTATGTCGCTGCTTAGGTTAATAATGTCATGATGTGATTTGAAAAGGAACAATATGTCTAGGTACTCATGCCAGTAACACAAAGGTAGTAGATTCAATGTTGCGAGACGATGGTTATAGCTGATGTCACAGAAGAAAGGTAGGTTCAATATGTATTTTGACGCACGTCTTTGAACGCGTTCTGTACGCTTAATGAGGTCAACAGTTTGTGGAGCCCAGACTTGGGACGCGTATGCGAGGTGGGAACGAACGAGGGTAAGATATAGAGTCCGACGAACAGAGATGGTCTTGACTTTGATCGTGGACCGTCGAATATACCCGAGGGATTTGTTGGCTTGGGTGCACTGGTGGAGGACTTGTTTGGACCATGTGAGGGTGGAGGAGGTCCAGACGCCAAGGTCACGTTCGCAATCTGTGGTTTTCAGAGCGGAATCGTGCAATTTGTATGTATGGTCGATTTTGTTGCGTTTTCTAGTAATTCGAAGTGTCTTACATTTATCTGTGTTGAGGAGAAGATTAGCATTGGCAGAGGAGGTTTGGAAGTTCGCAAGATCATTCTCCATAGCGGATGCATCAGCCTTCGCGTTTATCACCTTGTAAATCTTTGTATCGTCAGCAAACGTCGCGATCTTCGAGTGGTTGATGGAGTTGGGGAGATTATTCTGATATAATAGGAATAGCAGAGGTCCAAGGATTGAGCCTTGTGGAACTCCGGAGGTTACTGGTAGTGCTGATGATGTTGCACCAAGTACTGTAGTCTGCTGCCGACGGTCCTTGAGGTAAGATCTAAACCACTTTAGAATATTTCCACCGAATCCAAAATCACGAAGTCGTTTCAACAGTTGCATGTGGCTTACTCGATCAAACGCCTTGGACATATCCAAGTAGATCACATCAACTTGTTTCCCAAGATCCAGCTCACGACCAATATACTCAAAGACTTCAATGAGCTGTGTAACACAGGACTTCCGAGGAACAAAGCCATGTTGACCGTTGTTAACCTGTTCGAAAACGTGGTCTTTGATCTTATTGAACACGCATCTTTCCAATGCTTTCGAGATAAGCGAAAGAAGCGAAATCGGTCGATAGTTTTCTACGTGCTCTTTGTTGTCTTTTTTGTGGACGGGAACAACATTTGCTAGTTTCCAGTCGCGTGGTAACACACCAGTGTTCAGAGATTTATTAAACAAGACAGTTAGTGATGGAGCAATTTGGCGAGCTGTTTCTTTTAATAATCGTGCAGGAATCCCATCTGGACCTTGAGCTTTATTAATGTCGAGATTATGCAATACGGAGAAAACGTCGGCTTCCGAAAGGGTAATGTCCTCGATGATAGTATTGTTAGACTGATATGGAAGAGCTTCAGGGCTGCAGTTTTCGATATTTGGATCAGTGGTAAATATAGATGTGAAGTAGTTGTTGAAGAGGGTAGCAATATCTGCTGGATTTCCCGCGAATGCTCTTTTGGTTTCATTTACTTTCACCGAGAGCTTTTGAGGAATGTTCCGGGTCTTATTATTGAGCTTGAACAGGGACCAGAAGCGTTTGGGATTAAGCCCACGGCTGGAACAAATAGAGTCGAAATATTTGGAGCGACTGTTACGTAACATGCGCTTGATGGAACTACGAAGGGTTTTGAACTTTTCAACGAGATATTCAGTTGGTGTATGGGATTTCTTAATTCTGAGGCGGAGAGAGTTTTTCTTCTTGATGTTGTGTAGAATTGTAGAATTCATCCACGGAACATAGTTTCGACCCTTTACTCTCGTAAATGGTATATGTTGGGATACTGCTTCTAGGAACGCCTTCTTCCATTGTTGCCAGTCGTGGTTGATATTGTCGTCAGTTGTAATCAGGGAATCCAGATTTAGACATTCAAGGGAAGTTCGTAAGCCAGCAAAATCACCTTGACGGTAATTATAGACAGTTCTGCGTATCTTTGGCAGTTGATTATGACACAATGAAAGTTCAAACACAATAATGTTGTGATCAGTGAAAAGTTCTGCTTGAGTTGGAGACAAAATTTCACATATTTTGACTTTGTTGGGAATATTGGTAAGAACGAGATCTAACGTGTTGTTACCTCTAGTAGGCGCGGTGTTTAGTTGTTCCAAGAAATGGTCATGGAGCAGTTCTACGAAGGTATTTTCGTTACCACCTGATGTTTTCTCTGGCGAATCCCATGATACATGTGGCATATTGAAATCTCCTGCAAGCACAATGTTTGAGTGTCCCAAACAAACATCACCCATAAAGTTATTGAACTTGTCCAACCAACTATGATCTGAGTTTGGTGGACGATAACAAGAACAAATTAATAAACTTGCGTTTGAAGTGGTTGTTATTTCAGCCACGGCGATCTCCAAATCATGACCATGTTGAATTTCCCGCACTGATTTGAATGACGAAATCTTTATCGCTAACAGTACTCCACCACCACGAGATTCGCGATCCTTTCTGAATATGTCGTATCCCGAATGCAGAATTTCCGAGTTTTTAATATCCTCGTTAAGCCACGTTTCGTTGACACAAACAATGTCGGGATCTTCGGAATAGACCAAGTTCTGGAAGCGTTCAATGTTGGTATCTGTTAAGTTGTTTCCGATGTTGGTTTTATGTAAACTCATCAGACTTCGAGCATTGAGTGCAAGACATTTTATGAACCGATTTACACGATCCGTGTGTTTGTAAGGTCCAGGATTCGTTGCGATATCTCCGGCAAGCAAGAGTAATATAGACGCATGTGAGATCTTACGGTTAATTTGTAAGTTTAAGCCGTAGCGATGCTGGTTATTGCATGGTAAGTTATATTTTCTGAAAACAACATCACGGGTGGATACCCAAACATAGCATAGTTTTTCAGGCAGAGAAACAAGTTCGGGGCAGATTAAAATGTTTTCTGGTGTAATTTGGGTGTTATTAGCATTTCGATTAACTTTCACACACAGTTTCAAAATTGAAAAAAGAAGTAATATATTAGTTATGAAGCGTCCAATCTTTGCTAGATTTTTCGTCCCATCTGAAGTGAATTTTGGAACCATTTCTGAATTCAAAGCTTACACTCGCGTAATTTATTCCGATTGTTTTGATTTATTCAATTTGATGACGTACGGATTTAATTGCGTGTTTGCGATGATGACGATGATGTGCGTAAGCAAACGTTCAACTCGCGTAAAATGCTAAGACAAAAATCCCCCGACTTTCGATGCAAAAACCACTCCAAACGACGCTTTCTTGAATCAAAATCTCCAAAAATTCACAAATCCAAGTTCCTGATACTCTTAGACGACTTTATTATAAGTTTTTTCTCCAAAGCAATGTTTTTGGACTTGCTAAAAAGCAAATTCTTAAGGAGCTCCCTCGCGCGCGCTCGCACGCGCGAGGATCGATGACGTTTATGGGGAAATCATTCTTAATTCGAATGTCACTTTTCATTTGATTATGGGCTATTTGTTAGAATTTGTATAGGAAATTCGCCTCGCACGTGGTATCTGTTGAAGAAAACTGGCACTAGGACCTTCTGCGCAGGTCTTTGACTCCAGCTACCGCCCGATGTCGAAGTCTTCGTGAAATTTGGCGCATTTTGATAGCAAATTCATGTTTATTCATGGCGATTTAGGAATGTCAAAATGAGCGCAAAGATTTGGGTTTTGCTTGTGTTTACAACCTCATTAATAATTCACTTGCTCGGCTGCAGGAGATGGCGAAGGGACGTCTCAGACTCGATCTCGACTCTACCTTATATACCTTATATGTCTTACATTGTACACCAGATAAGTGTTGAACAATATTGTAATGATTTTACGTTTAGTTATAGTATACTGCCTCATTATAATTGAAGTTTACGCTTGGGAAATGCTGCTTAGTAATATACGTTATTCTGATTAATACCGTATAATATCAACATACAAACGGAAAAAGGATCAAAGTTATGATTCGTGCTTGGCCATTGTTGTCAATCGTATAATTCATAAAATGCGTTGCCTTGTTTACTCGATACATCGTGCTCGATTTATAAGCCAAACGGTTTGGTGCTCGAAGACGAAGCGTGCGCTTTGGTCTCTACGCCATATAATAATAACAATAATAAACTTTATTTAATTTAAAGAAGGTATTTATAATACAAAACCAGTTTAGCACAGCTAATCTTTAATATAATGGGCCTCAATACTGGGCTTGAAAATGACGCACGTCTGTAATTTCACATTAAGTGGACTGGACACTAGTTTGAGCAAATGTTCATTCAATTATGCACCTGGGGCAAAAGTTTGATATCATTATTCAGTGTAATGAATGTTTTCTTCGCTCAAACGATCCCTTTAATGGTGAAAAAAATATGTTTGATCTATATTATGTGTGTTTACTAAGCATGATCATTTTTATGAAAAATGTTGAGCATGCAATTCTGCTCCGCGCATCCTATAGTGCTTTTAAATGACCGATTACATCAAGTACTACCATTGCTTATATTACATACTCTGCCTAGACAATTTATCCTTACAACATTGTGACGTACATTACTTTCTTAGCTATGTTTATCCAAATCAACCCTGCATGTTCCACGATTTTCGGCGGCACAGCGTTGACCCTTTTCACGAAATACAGCGAAGTCAATAGTCATAATAACTAACAGTATAATCTAGGGTAATAATATTATAATTACTTCACACTGCATGTTTGCTGTTGTGGACATTATGTTGAAAATAAATTTTTTTCCCTCGTGTCCTTCCGTTTCAGGAACCTCTTTATGAAGCTGGAGATAGTATTCAAATACATTATAACGATTATATAAGGAATTAACCTGTACTTATTTCGCAAACATTTTTGGATTTTGATGATTTTACTGAATTTTACGAAGATATGTCTGAACCTGCGTAGTTGCTAGCTTAACTAAAATCATATAGCGATATCGTCATGGTTAAATCTGGACCTGCCTATAAAGATTAAGTTATCTCATCTCGTAGTAAAAAGCAAGAGACAATCTTCCGTTTCAAGAAAATTCTTTCACTTTGATAGTCTTCATTGTTATGCAAAAAAATATCAAACCATGACAAAACACATTTCCTTGTCAGTTGTGAGGCACTTTCCGGTAGCGAGAGCAACTCGAAGAAAATATTAATTTGGGGAAATTAACCTCTCAAAGAAAATTAATTTGGTAAGTTGCATGCCACTGACTATCAAACTAATTGATGCAGTATACTGTTTGATTCCTATACAGTTTTATTTGATTCCTTTCAACGGGCTTTAAGTTGTTCTGTTTTACATATAAGCGCGCGGTTTGAACGGATAGAAACTAATAACATAAATGATCTATTCTCGACTGGTGGGTCAGCGCGCTCTTATAAAAATTTGCTATATCTTAAGCTCGAATAGAAGTATGGACTTTCTGCAACAGCAAAAATCATTTGAAGTGGAAAAGAAAGGGAATATGGGGCGAGCCAAGATGTCTTTATTTATATTTGTCATTTGCCCAAAAAAGAACCATATATAAATGCATGTACTGTATAGGAGTATACTTAATCTATGAACCAGTAAAGCCGCGTCTTAAAATCTAAAATGGATATGATAACAAGAATTTTTCAGAATTCAAATGACTCTGACAAATCTAACCACTCACCATAATGGATTGTCTCGAAAATAAATTACCGAGATTACATTGACTTCTCCGACTTCAGTGAAGGACGGCAAGAATGACGAAGAAATTTTTATGTCACAATTATTAAAAATCGTGCACCTGGGCTTGCACTCTGTCACTGTGCAGGACTACATGTGTTTACTGAGGGACATGAAATGGGAGCTGGTGTTCAATCCCATTTTTTCAGCCAAAATATCGTCTGAATGCTAGTCACTCGACCCAATCATTTGTCAAATTCCATTCTGAATAGCAACATTGCTCTTACAAATGGTACAAATCCCATTCTTAGTGATCCAATTGTATTTTCCCAGTGAGAATATATGCTACGTACGTATATACCCATTTTATTGACCTCTTCATGCACGAGTCTCATTACTGATACCACATACTGGCCACGGAGCTGTCTTCTTAGTATTATTGTAGCCATGTGTGTATAGTGAATGTTTTCTTCAGTCGTTTTCTCGAGGTCACAACACAAGTGTTACGAAAGTATATCTAAATAGATAAAAATAGTTCAATTTGCGCCCCAGGTAATTATAGATACTAGTTACGTCAAATGGAGAGATAATGAGCATTTTTGCTGTAAAACGCAGATAAAGTATATATCATTTCGGACGTGCGTAAAAGTGTCAATTATCTGTCCATTAGGCAAGATAAATAATTTGTCAAAGTTGGACGATAACCTTGCATGGTGGGCTGTTGTGTTTACATAATTCAAAGTCCAAGGCTGGTTCTTCTCTGACATGAAAATGTGCATGCTTAGGGCCTTTCTGTCAATCATTTTTCAGTATATTTCGAGCGGTTGAATAATGATAACATTACGTCATCAAAATCTTGGTTCTATAAAATTGTAAGTAAATATGGGTTAAGTAGTTAAAGTAAGGTTCACATAGATATAAGTTGAAGTTTTTACTATGTTATTTTGATAAGCATTTTAAGTTGTGAACATATTTTAACATTGATCGATTGAACAGCGAACCAACTCGACAAGTGCGACAACGCCTTAAATAAACAGAATTTGAGAGCTGGAACGAGCTAGCAACGCCAACCTACACTTTTAAACCTCAACGTTAATTGGCTGGATACAAATCACACCACTTGCTACATCACGTGTACAAAGATCCCCTCAACCGTTAGTATAAAAGTGCGTGCACAACCGAAATTCTCAGTGGATGAATTCTCAGTGGATGAATTTTCCGTGGATGAATTCTCAGTGGATGAATTCTCAGTGGATGAATTCTCAGTGAATGACCTCTCAGTGGAATTTCCTAGTGGACGTACGCTGAATCAAGCTTAAATGATGAAAAAGCTACTGAAGCTCAGACGAAACTAGACAACGACAAAGAAAAAAACGAACAGTGAACAAACGAAAGAGGCTGAAGAAAGAAGATAACTTTGAAAAGGAACGATTTCAATATTAACATTAGTAACAATAATTACAAAAGTTGTATAACGATTCACTGCCTAAATAAAGCCTCGTAACACAAGGACTAAGGCATACGAAAAAACTATCGAATTTTTCCATGATGTTTTACAGAGAAACGTCACAGCTGCAACCCCCCACCCCCACCCACAAACAATCATATGACGTTTCTCGACAAAATCCAGCCTCGTACCCAGGCGCAATTAACTAAAAATAGGCATACTACAGATTTTTTATATAGATCAGTGGCTAAGATGAGCGAGCGCGCGGGGGTCAAGCACCCCCGCGCGCTCGAGCCACTGATCTATATAATAACACTGTAGTGTGCCCATTCTTAGCGCCTGGGTACGAGGCTGGACAAAATCGATATGTGAGGCGGCCTTATATAAACACGACAAATAAATAATTGTATTAATCGTTCTTCATTTTTCATAAACATGTTACGTGTATTTTTGGGCTTTATTTTCTCTAGCAAATTCACCGTAGCAGAAGAAGGTTCACCGACTATGTCTTTTATCAGTTTTGTGTTGTTTGGCTTCGTGTTGGTTCTCACAGAGCATTTTGTTGCCTGTAACGTTGTTAGTAAAACAGTGTCGGATGAAGTAGAGAAGAGAAATGTTAACGTTGGTATCCCGGTAAGTTGGTGTTATTTAAAGTCTCTAGATCTGGGATTAGAACGAAAAAAATTGGGATTATAGTTTGCCAACAATTTGAATAGTGTCATCATGCAGTGACAATGCCGTGTATTTCGTCTTAATTATTAATGTTCAAGAACTCATTGTTCCGACTAGACTAAGTGTGTCTGCATGTCGTGGGATATAATACCTACTGATTTGTCATGATCACTGTAAGGAAGTTTACAGATTTCAAACTATAAACATATTCTGGTTTAAAATTGGTGCTCTACTGATCGGACTTGTATAAAGGCATACAGCTAATTCAAAACAGGTTGCCCTTCGAGACGTAAACCTTTAAAGTGCCTATATCATGGTTTTGGAGTTTGCATATCTCGAAAAAATGCCCTAAACCTTGGAGATAACACACATTTTGTTTACATTTTGAACTGCTATATTTGTAAAATATGATACTAACCGCTGAATATCTAACATGCACGTTTGTGGTTCGCTATGCTAATTGTAAATGAATATAAACTCTACGAGTTTCAATTCAAAAAAGTTAGAAAGATGCATGCAAAATTTGGGCAATGTTTATATCTGTAGGTCCCCTTTTGTTATGAGCAGAACTGATGCGCAGAACGGTTAACGGACTTTACAGCACCTTTAACCCTATTTGTACCGGGGGTTTTTCATGTTGATATGACCGGGGGTGCGCTGATAGGGCGCACCCCTCAGAAATTCTGTCGATTAACTGCTATTATCCTATAAGTTTTATTTTTACTAAGTTTTATCTTTCTTTAACCTAAATATAACAAAAAAGTTAAATTCACATCCAAAATGCTGTTTTTTGGCCCCATTGAATATGACCGCCTATCCGAAAATGGCGAATATAGCTAATATTTTACCCATTTTGGTTATATTTTGTAAAGAGATAACAAAACATTTTGGATGTGATATTTTTTGGGTCTTTTACATTCAAAAGACATACTTTTATGTTATAGCATATCTCAGTTGTCCATAAACACCACTATTTTACTTTCCAAGTTGGCATTTCTGTGCCATATGAAAAGACATACAACTGAAACTTACCAGTCTCTCATATAAACAATCCAAATCATTTTCAAGTTTCAACATCATTGATTTTACCTTCATATCTTTGTGACAGTGTCATTGTTGTATAAATAATGTTCCATTATTCTCTTAGCATGCACAATTGTGCATTCTGTTGAAACTCTAGCACTTTTTTTGGCATAACTTCTGCAGTGTAAACATAAAATGTCGACCAACAAATGTTTGTAGAAAAAATACGAAATGGCAGCCATGTTTTATACCAATATACTATGTGTTACATAAAGTGTAAGGCAGGTGAGCTACGAGATACGAGCCTGCAGTATAGTTTTGAAAACACAATATTTACTTTGAAAATCATGGCAATCATTATGGATTGTATGCAAATGTTTTACTCTCATTTGGAACTGAATTTCTGGTACGAAAGTGTTCAATATATAATGTATCCTACAAGTTTGATTCCTGCTGAAAGACAGGGAGATGTTATGCCTTGAAGATACAAAGAAATATGTATGTGTATTTGAATATATAAAAATATTATAAATAAGTATTTTATATTATATAATTATAAGTATTGTATAGTATGCTATATTATATGTTGTACTATATTTTACTATTTTATATAATATATTATGGATATTTTACTTTGCAAATCATGTGTAATAATCCATATTTATATGTTCTCTAATTATATTATGTTATTTATGACCTGGGAAGTGATTGAAGCCAAAAAATAATGTCCAACCCACATTTACCCATTTTTGGCCCCGACACCTGCTTTGACAAATGTCGCCAAACGTCCGGATAACTTTGAATTTTCAGAAAAAATTTTCACAGTCATGACGGCAGAGGAAAAATATTAAAAGTCATGAAAGTACAGGCAAATCAGATCATTTGTTCAGGAATGACGGATAAATATTTATAGGGGTGCGCTCATTGTGCGCACCCCTGGTACAAATAGGGTTAACATGAAGTATTAGTAATTGATTAACACTGAAATTGTGATTGAACGCAGGCTCGCGTTTACGTTTGTGTTGCCATGGCAACACGATAAATTTCATTTTTATTATATTTTTGGTACAACACGCCAAAAATAGGTGAAAGATTATTGCTTCTAACTATACAACAATGAATTTCCGAAATATGTACTGTAGGTATGTTGTTCTGCACTTTGTGAGCTTTGATTTAATGTAAAATTTATCGTGAATCGCTTCGTAAAATATTTTGAAATGTTCATTTTAATATTAAACTATAAACTGCATTTTCCGATATAAAACTGTACGGCTTTTCATATAGTTTATAAAACAAAATAAGTTCAAATTGTTGAGTAATTTCAGTTGGGTTTTCAAATGAATTTGCTCTCCTTTATATTTTACCTTTTATTCTTAAATTAAACAGGGTAATTTAGCAAACTTTAATACAGCTTCATTGAAAAAGAAAGCAGTGCATGTTTTACGCAATAAATTAAAGCAACAAAATTTATAAACATTAAACATTCAAAGCAAACTTGCCCTATATTCCACGATTTCATATAAACAATATTTAATTTTAAAAAAAGAAATGGCAATTTTTCCAAAAGCCGCAGGCTTATCTAGGAAAAGCTTGCCTGACATTAATAAATACGTAGTTTGCATTGAAATTAATAAATATATATAAATATAGAGTGGCAACGAAACGTATGAGAATAAGAATAAAATATATCTTAACACACACATAGCCATGCACCTGCAGAATTAACAGCGTCTTCTATCTTACAAGATGAACATTACTGCAAGGCATGGCTGAAAAGTGTTCTTGATTTTAACAAAAGCGTTTAGTGTTCACAATAAAGTTTGAACGATTAGAAAAAGATTAGCATTTGTATGCTGCGAAACGTCGGGATGACCGTTCAAAAACCATGATAAACGCATTTTGCTTGTTGAATTTAACCATTTGGAACCAAGTAAATGTGCAGCGGAAGCAAAAAGAACAGCGCGATGAGCAGCATATCGGCCACATTCAAAGAAGAAATGACTGACAGTCTCACTGGTTGAACCCCAAGACCATAATGGCGATGGAACGCAATTTATTAAGAACAAATAATGATTTAAGGTACAATGAAACAGGCGAAAACGGGTATGAAGTATGGAGGCGTAGCGATTACCAATGTAGAACAATGCATTTGGAATTGGATCGTCACGCCAAATTTTGAGATTGGTTTTAAAATGAGGTAAAGAATCAGAAGTTTGAACGCTTAATGGCAAGCTATTCCAAAGTTTAATTGAAGAAATAGCAAAATATTTTTGAAGACGTTCTGTCCTAGCAAATGGAACACAAAGGTCATCGTGAGTCCGTAGCGTATAAGCTGATTTCGTGCGTATGTGTTCAGGACGCAATTCAAGTAGGTATGGTGATGCTAAATTATTCAAAATTTTGAACATCATAAAAAGCTTATGATCAGAGCGTCTGGATCTGAGCCTAACCCAAGCTGTTTCCTTAAGTAGACTTTCACGGCTCGTTCCTTTTATAGCACTGGTAACTAATCAAGCGGCATCGATCTGCAATTTTTCAAGAAGATCACTATCGGTTTCTGTACAACCATCCCAAATAATATCGGCGTAATCTAAACACGATCGAACTAATGATTTATACAGAACGTCATGGGTTTTTCTTTTTAGAATGAACTTTAAGGGTTTAAGCACATTTCGTTTTTTAGAAGCCTTTTAATGAATTTCGAGATATGAGGGCGCCACGAAAGATTAAACGCAAGTGTAACACCTAAATGCTCATGAGAAGTGACATCCCTAATTATTGTATTAGTCATATAAAGTGGCGGATGAAATGGTTTGTCCCTTTTACATGTTAAAATCATGGTTTCCGTTTTTTCGGGGTTCATAGTGACAAGCCATGATTGGTTTGACCAAGCCGAAATTGTAGAGAGATCATTATTTAATTTGTTATCAGAATCGACCGGCGAAATTACTTCCTCCAATAATAATAGTCATCAGCAAATAGAAAACAGTCAGATGAAATATCAGTTGCAATGTCATTGATATATATTAGAAACAAAAGAGGGCAAAGTACAGATCCCTGTGGAACCCCAGCTTTAACATTTTTCCATTCAGAACTAGTTCCTTCGATTATAACACGTTGCTGCCTTCCAGTTAAGTAACTTTCAAACCATGAGCAACAATGAGCCGTTTATTTTAATACTCCTTAATTTAGCAATTAGGCCTTTGTGCCAGACTCTATCAAATGCCTTGGAAATATCAAGAAAGACAGCTCTAACTTCGTTACCCCTCTCTAATGCATTATAAATCTTGTTCACAATGTAAATTAACTGCATAATTGTAGAATAACAAGGACGAAAACCAGACTGAAAGCGATAAAAAAATCCACAGTTTTCGAGAAAATTATATAATCTCATAAACACAATTTTCTCGCAAATTTTGGATAAATTGACTAATAAGATATAGGGCGATAATTATTCCTTACTTGTCTGTTGTCTTTTTTAGATAGTGGAATCACATTGGCAAATTTCCAAGCGTTTGGATATTGGCCAAGGCGAAACGAGGTATTTAATAAGCGAGTAAAAGGTTTGTGAAAACCAACAGCGCAAAGTTTGATAATTCGATTGCTGATATTATCCAAACCACAAGCTTTAGAAATATCAACATTACTTAACAAATTTAGAACTTCGAGTTCATCAGTTTCTACCACAGAAAGCGAGTGAGTTGATAACGAAACCAAAGGGATGGGACTGTTCGTGTCATTAGGAATTTGAGTTTGGGCCGTGAAATATTCATTTAAAGAATCTGCTTTTTGTTTAGTATCAGAGATTATTTCGCCATTAACTAGCAAGTCTGGCATAGGGGAATAATATTTGTTGTGAAAGAGTGATTTGGAAATGCCCCACCATTTTTTAGAACATGTCCTAGGATTACTTAAGTCTATGTTTAATTTAACGTAATAAT